AAAAAAAAAAAAAAAAAAAAAAAAAAAAACAAAGTGCCTCGACTACCCCGAAGTACGTAAAGAAGAGCAGCGTCGGGAGTCTTGTGCAAATTTTTCTTTTCTTCCGACTCCCCTCGTGCTCGACGAGTCACGAAAAATGAATGTTCAGTGTATAACGAAGCCAGCTCACGTAAATCCACCGTAAAGGCTACTCGCTACGTACGTACTCGCGTAAATCACGTATCTAAGTATTTCGGTATGCGCAAACAAGGAGTCCAGCAAAGGACGACGTCCGGCAAAATTCTGGTGGCGCTGACAGTACGCACGTGCACAACCAGTAGGTACCGAGATACTAGCCCGCATTCACAACTCGCTCTTAAAGTCACTAACAGAGTCGCTCGTAGTTAAAAGTCACTAAGAAGAAATTTAAAAGCGCGCTATTAGCACTAAGAGCGAGTTCCGAATACAGGCTGTGGTCCATGTGTACGCACAGCGCGTGCACGCACGTGGCCGATGCAGGTATCGGCTGAGATGTAAGCATTGTCAATTTCTTCTGAGACAATACTCTGTTACATTCGCTGTACGAGAAACTGGCTTTTACCTCGACGAGTCAAGAAGATCGTGTAGGTATCTTTATGCTTCTTGTTTTTTCTTCCTTCCATTTTTCACCGTTCTATCCCGTTCCCCCTATATCCATTGTCGATAATCGATTCTCCGTGCTATAACGTCGCGGCTACGGTATAACTATACGGGCTATAAGGCATAGTGAATAGGGGAACTGGTTTTCCAGACAGAACCAAGAATTTCCATCGATTCGCTCTGCGTCAAGGATACGCGACTACTAGGCGGATCGGAAGGCTCTTCAGTTATTCGTCCCGAGTTTCATGATGGTCGTGATGTTTTCTGAGGCGCTCGTGAAATATTTCGCAATCCATCGGAAAGCGCATCGCTCCGCGCTCGTATTGTAGCGTCTACGACTCCCGCGACTCGAGCGATTATTAACCCGACGAGACAAAGCATTTGTTCTTTACTCTCGCTATGCTCGTTTTATACCTATATATATATATAAACACTCGCGCATCCGAGTTGCCATAAGAATCGGTAGCTAACGGTCACAACCAGCGAGAATTTACAGTTAGTCAGTCCAATCTATCCGTACTGGCCGCCATGTCAGATTGCTTGACCGTAATCGAAAATAATTGTGCCTTCTTACCGCCGACAGCGATGGATTACCGTGGTGACCTGAATTTTGTGGTGAAAAAAAAAAAAAGCCCAAAAAAGAGACTTTAAAAGGACGGATGCTGCGATGATATATCTCGCGCGTCCTGCAGTGGGAGGCATCGACGTGCAATAATTTATAGGCTAATTCTACGTCTCTCGGGGATACACCTTAACGCTGTTGGATTTTCCTAGAGAGGTTATGTACCGTCCGTAGACGACGAGCGCTTGTAAAAGTTTCATGCCGATAAACTCGAGTCATCGCGAGCTAATGCGATTCTGCGAGTCCCGCGAGTGACACTAAAGGAACTCGTTAAGTGGAAAATCGGATCGCTCCAGTGGAGACCAACCTATATTTGCCTAAAGACGGCCACGCCGACGCTCCGATCTTTTTTCGAAATATCCTTCCCGTGAGCCGTCGGTGCAGTTCCTGGCGCGAGGTGAAAGAGTGTCTCCCAGGCGTGGTGCGAAGGAAAAGTAAGGAAGAGAAGAAGAGTATCGCATCTTCCACACGAATGGACGGAATGAATAACGAATGACTGCCTGGGCGACCGATGACTCAATTCCCAGACTCGGAGGTTCCTAGTAAAGTGAGTGTCAACCGGAACGTAACTGGGAGCTCCTGTACGGATTCCGATCTTCTCGAAATAAAATATATTACGCAGGCACAGCCTTAATACAATCAAATAACCCATGATCGGTATAAATTAATACGTGAGCCAAATTATTATTGCGATTTCGACTTCCGCTTCCGGGAGTGACGTACATGCATGGCCGTTCAATACGATTCCGTGGCTATAGTTGATTCACAGTCGGATGGGCTTCTCGTTAGATTAGCGTTTAATCAGTCACAGACCAGAGGCTGGTAGTCAACGTGCTACGTGTCGTCGGCTAAAGCGGAAGTCGATGTTCCATGAAATTTGGTTAGAGTAAAAATCATAGCGAAGGAGAGAAGACGTCGGGTGACTTGAGTTCGGATATTATTAATTGTCAAATAACCCGTAGAGTGTAATGAGCGGTTAATACCCAGGAGTTTAATTCCATTTGGGTATCGCTAGGAATTTTCTTCAATCGAAGTTACCAGAAACTTCTCTGTCCTCGTATAAGAGAGAGAGTCAAGCTAACCGGAACCGATACAGGGTGCTGGCTTCCGAAATACTTCCAGACCTTTTTTTTCCACGGGAGTAATGTACCGGGGTGCTTTTTTACGCCTTTCTCAGCCAGGATGAGATAAATGGAAGTCCGAGTTCGGATGGAGGAACCGGAACGAGATATTTCGCCGGAGTAAATAAGTCTGTCGAGGGAGGATTAATTAAACTGTGATTTAGGGAATTTTTTACTTTCCTATTTTACGCCCCGTGCTGCCACTTAATAGACGCGTGATTGAAACGTGAACTACGAAATATTTAACGAGGCATCTTTATTCGAAGGAATGACAAATGAGACGTCTGCGTGAATTAAAAATGCGCATTTACTTTGATTGGTGTATAGAGAATTTTTCAAAGCGATTAGGAATTTCGATCAGTTGTATAAGCGTTATTGGAACGGTCGATAATTCACTCGGTTCGAGATGACACATTAAAAAGTATTACAAAACTCAATGGGGCGATTTACCTTGGATTAATTGGATAAGCGTATACGTATTTCATATTTATAATATTTGCCCATAAATTCTCATTGTGCTTCTTTTGAAACGCAGGGGGGGGTTAGAGAGGACCCTCATCGAGCAGCCGTCATCCCCAACAACGGACGTAAATTCTATGACGCGCTTTTGTGCGCCACGAGCCATTCATGTGCATATAAATTTTATTCTTTATCGTTAACTTATTTATTTTGATACTAAACGATCGGATAGAATGGCAGCTCGATTGATATATCTCGCGTTACTCATATGCCATGCATCTGTCTTGTTGTTTGTTAACGCCACGAAGAATGCCGCGCCATTTTTTTTTCTTACCCCTCGCTGGACAAACATATCGATCACGACGCAAGGCGTAGAACACGAAGATTTAAACGTAACGTGCAAATTAACTTGTTACCTTTGAAATGAAGCGCGAATTTTTTCGCGCCCCATTTTCGGCCACCCACGTGATCCGTTTTATTTGCCAAATGGGCGCGTAAAACGTGCCACCACTTTATCGTTTTACTGCCGGCGACTGTTTTAGTATGGGATCCCCTTCAATACTATTTCTACAAAATATTTAGATCAGAGATGCATTATTTATATACGTATTATGCATAAGAGAGGGACGGAGCGATCAATCATATCGATAACTATACTCAACTGTATCAGATAAGACAAGAGGAACATTGCATATGAGAAAATAAATTCCAGTAAAATTTACCGTACGATATCAATTTCGCAGAATCGTAGTCTAGACACAATAGTCTATACTGATAGAGGCAAAGAAACTGAAGCGATCTTAAAGTTTCAAAGAGTCGTCCCGCGAGGGAAAACGGGACCTTTCCCCAATTTCGACACCCCGAAAAACTTTTTTCGAACGACAATCAGAATCTAGAAACTGGACAAGGACGCGGTCCCCGACGATTCTGAAACTTCTCCCTGGCCATCAATTTGCCGGATAAAACTCGAAAACAGGATTACTCACACGAAATCAATCGGTTCACAACGTGTAGCTGTCAAACAAGAGAGGAACGAGTTTGAAGTTAAAAAAATAAAACTTACCTTCGGTTTCCGTATGAGTAGCGACAATGCTTACTATTACCAGTAGCACCAGAACGAGCACCAATTTCCACTTCACCATCCCACTATTCAGACATTGCGCCTCTTTTGAATTCATGCACCAGATATCACACGCCATATTTCCCTTGCGATTATTCGCAACGTCTCACGCGAACTTCATGACAACTGTTTTCACTTTGGCTTAATATAATACACATCCACTCCGTCTCGAGGTTCTAGCACGACTGCTTCTAGCGCACAGACTGTTGCGACACCTCTGAAGTTGCCCAGAGTGGATACCGCCTCTACATCCCGCTGACCCGCGGGCCATACCAACAACGCGGATTCACAATCCCGAGGACAGCCGACTATGCGCGAGTACTGCCGAACGCGTGAATACATTACGACTTGCTTCCTCGCCGCGGAAATTCGATTCACGATGAAAAGAGCCCTTGCATTTCCTATCTCAAGGACTCCTGGGTCAATAAGCTTTCCACTTGACGTCCGTGCAGTTGCATATAACTTTATTGTTCAGTAATGCAGTTGCATTTCCTTCTATTCTGCATAACTGTAGATTTTTCAAAATTAAATATGTAAATTTTTAATTGGAAAAAGAATTCCATGGACTTTCTCTCATGTATTATTTTTCATATTGATATGCTTTTCTACCTCATAGAACCTGTCCGATAGTTCAGCTTGTTTTTCTTTGTGAATTGCGTGAAGTGCACCTATACTGTATAGTAGTTTTTAGTTATGACGAAGGAGTGATCAACATGGTAGCTATGGAGATATTGAACAAACTTTTTATCCAAAGTGCATTGTATACAGAAAACTAGGCGGTTCAGTTTCTCTTCGACTATGGATAAGATACGAAGAAGTTTGATTGAGGATATAGCCAAGGAGCATCAGCAAAAGGAGATTAATGTATCCACGGATATAATTTGTTTTCTGGTACAATGATGAATATCTCTTGCTTTCCATTCCGCTAATACGAAAGTTCGAAATGAAATCTCGAAAGAGAAAAATTATTGCAGTTAGGCTTGACACTCTTAAATCCGGAGTACCGGCTATTGAAGGACGAAGATCCAGATGTGCTCGAAATAAAAAAGAATAAAATCATCAAGTTCATAACGGACAAATTACACGATCAAAGCAGACCAAGTCTAATGACTATCAAGATTCAATTATACTTCTCGAAACACTACAGTCACAGAGGTAAAACAAATAGACCATAGTTCCGCCAGTGTATTTACTAAAAATTAAGTTATTCATATTTTTCAACAGACGACGTCATCAAAAAGCACAGATTATCCCTGCGCCAAAAAACAAGCCCGTTGGTGACTGAAATCTGCGAAAAGAATCACGTGATGAATGATCAAGACATCGAGAAGCTCTATCAAAAAATTTTAGTTGTCGTTACGCTGTTGAGCGGCCTTGGAAATCCCACGACAGCCTCAGTTCTTAGGTAACGTTTACCTTTACTAGGACAATTCAATTTTCAGTACGACGTGTGCACTTCTCGCGAAATCACAAACACTTTCGAAGTTGTTCCTCCGGTGCAAAAGTTTCCTTCTGGTAATTCGAGGAAGTTTCCTGTAAGAGCACTCTGCTTCGCTCTTTAGCTTAAACGTAAATGCGATTCTTTTAAGGGAGGTCGCGGTGGCCTTGCAGAGTGTCTATCAGCCATCAGAATTGAGGTACTTTGTCACTTTGTCCAAGTCAGAGAAGGAGGAGCAGCTAATGGAGCTAATGTGCATAGTCGCCGGAATTCGGCTCTTCAACAGAGATTGCCAACGTGGAGGAGAAGGAATAGACGATCGTAAGAGTTTCCCAGAGTGCCTAAAAAATTCCATAGAATACTTAATAACAAAAGAAAAGTCGGACAAAAATAATAACAGGTACAATCAGTGCCAAGTATATTACAGAGAGCGGTAACCAAGACGCAGGCGTCCATCTTGGATGTACTGGAGGCGTTGATGAAGATGGTTTACAAGTTAACGGCAGCAGTTGACAATGCGTTGATGATCCGGCCGGATGATGAAGATGACGTCAGTTCCGTTATCAATAAGGAATCGCCAGGTGACGTCACTGAAGAAGATGTCCAATTCGCTATTGAAATGCTCGCTGCTGTAAGACAGCAAGAGATTTACGTCAGGTTACGTATAAGATTTACATACACTGAACGGCAGAAATGGCGTCCCAGGAAAAAATTAGGAGCCTTTCGATTCCACTCGTAGTCTGTATCGGCGCAACGGCCTTGCCGGTGGCTGAAGTATTGTGGAAGCGAGACGCTCTTATATGCGCTACAGGGACTTGCTGCGCCACGACTATCAACGAGCGAGAGGGTCTTATAGGGGACCGTTGCTAGGAGTGAGAGAAACGCACTTATACGGGACTCCTCCGACTCGTGACGGAAATGGTGTCCTAAAGTCAGGGGAAAAGGCTACCTACCCCCTATACGCTCGGACCAGGCTTGCCCCTCGGCTGCTGGTCGCCTTCCCCTACTCTTGTTACGTCACTCCTTCCCTATATTTCTCCCTGGAACGCCATTAATGCCACTCAATGTAGTACGCATTACCTATTCTATATAAAGATTTTAAGTCACTATAATCGACTTTCCCGTCACTGGATTTGTACTTTAGGAAATTACTGGGCGACGTGGAAAACTGTGAGAATGAAATAAAGTGTCTGATACAACGTCTTCAGGGACGACTCTTCAAACTCCATGACACAGTCCGATACAGAACCGCTATTCCGACTGCTCAAGTTTATGTGCGTTTTACGAGGCTATAAATGTTGAATTCATGAGAATTTGACGGTGTCGATGTTCACGCAAACGTGATGGAATATGATCTGTTTGCTGTTTCAGCCTCAGTTTATTGATCTGGCTGATATATGGATAAGATTGCAAAACGAGGTGATTGTCTTGAGTCAGATCTATGGCTTCCTATGGCAGCTGGAGAATTTAACCGATAAAGTGCGTAATTAATTCACTGTTGGCAGTACACAAACATTTTCCATAATTAATGTCCTCTTTCGTATTCGAGCCTCCTATCGTCGTATCTCTGTTTCAGAATACGATAAATCAGGAAGAAATGAAACTTAACAAGATGATAAGTGGTTATGACATATTAACCGATGCTGAGAGACTAGAACAATCTATGGGACAAACTATAAGTAATTTTTTTTACCTCAAATCATATAAAACTGTTCCAGCATCACAACGAAGCAAAGAATCATTAATCTATTGTATTGATCCAAACGGTTCTGGAATAGTTTAGTAGATACCGATCCTCCCTTCTGTTGATGCTGGAATAAAAATACTGACCGATACGTAATAACGAAACCCTATCAATGATTTTCAAGATGACTGCGGCGAATGTCTAATATTTTATCCAAGCGTGACAAAGGATTTCGATAAGATCAATCTAGAGGTAAGATTTATCTTGACTCCAAATCCGAAGCGTCTAATCATACTATGGTAATCCTTTGAAGTTTCTTGGGTTCTGCGCGTGGACCTTCGCAGTTGGTAAAGGCGCCTTGATACCTGGCAATCCAAATATAGGCGTCGTCCAATGGAGAGGAAAGTATTATGCTTTCAGTTCGGTAAATGCAGCACGCAAATTCGGTCAGGACCCAAACAGGTTCGAATGGCATAAATTCACTTCTGAAAATCCTACAGGTTAACCAGAGAGCAACTGCACTATAAGTCGTTACCATAACAGGTACCTTAACGAGGCACTGGATTTCGTCAGGAGTCATCCTGAATACATACACTTGCTCCAGCTATACGAGGACGTCTTGCCGACAAGAAATCGTGACGAGTAAGTTTGCTCATCCCCAATACTCCACTTCTCTATGAGACTTCAATTCTCCATAGACCGGTTGACATAGAGATATTTCTTACAGAATCTTATTGGATGGACCCCAACCAACAGTTCAAAGGGATCAAGGCATTCAGACGGAATTGCACGTGGTACCGTTTCGAGTTGATAAAGACTATACATTTAGCATCTGGGAGTACAGACGACGGGCAATTCAATTGGTAATATCGATTATCGAACAGAAAGTATTATCGAATCGAATTAACATTACTTGTCGAACATTGTTGATCCACAGGCAAATATATCCCAGTGCAGAACCAGCAGTACGCAGACGTACAAGTCACATTTCAGAAGTGGCGTTTACGTGCAGGCTGCTGCACCACGTGACAAAGAAGTTCAAACAAGAAAAGACAATTGCACTAATACAATAAATGAGGAAACCTTTATTTTTGGATTGCGTGGTAGACGAAACGACACGCAACGTGTTCTCACCTTGCTGAAGAACAATGGATAAAATCTGTGAGCTTAAAACGCTTTGGATAAGCAAAGTGTTTGTTGAGAAAAGAAAAAATATATATACGTACACTACTGCCATCCTGGTTTTTAGTATTTGAAGAAATTGTTGTACTGCTGAGGTTTTTGTATACTGGACGAAGTAATGCACACAAGGCCACACTTAAAAAAAAATGAAAGCAATATTTTTAATCAGACATGTTTTCAAGTACACTCACGGAACATTAAGGACTTGTACGATTTTTTAGAAAACATAAATCAATATTACTCTTATCCATCCATAATCGTTATAATAGGTTCATTGTTTTTTTTCTTCCTTCCCTTTTGTCCCGAATAATGCTTTCGGCCATTGTCAAATGCTCGCTGATTTCTTTTTTTATTCGGCTTTGGCTTCCGTCGAGCGCTTAGGCCAGAACTTCAATTAATTAAATATTCGAAATACATAAGTTTTCCCGCGCGACGAGGAATCAACTAAACCGTTTCCGGTTCTGATTAGGGCACCTCGTTTCGCAGCCCTATCTTATTCTCTACTTCTCTCACCAATGCGCAGAGTTCACAATACTGTGCTCATTTTACTTTGACTTAAAACGTGTATTATATCGTACCTTTTCTTTTTAATGAATACATCACTTTAGCATTAAATCTTAAAAGTTAGGTCAATTTTTACACCAAAAAACCTACATTACGACGACAATTAGTAATTACACGTTAATACAATTAAACTTCGCTTATTAATTCATTTCAGTGTATAATGTAACTATTATACAGAAGAGGTACAGAATGTTGATTTCAGTTTTTACTCTTCGTACATTTTTAGTTTTCCTCATCTCTCCATACAAGTTCACTGTTCTCGGGAATTAAATGTTCTGCGTCGATTTTTTAATACATTTTTTTTTTTAATTTTATTCTTAAATCCTTTCCTTTGCTTCAACATCTCTTGCCGGTTAATTACATCTGTTGTCGATAAGTCATCAACGTTTTTTTAAAAAAAAGGAAAGAATTCAGAAAAAATATTCTTACAGATATATCCATAAAGGATATGGCTCGAGTTTATCATCGATTACATTGACATCAGTAATTCGAATAGAATGCAAATGAAAGTAATGTGTCATCACATGCATTTGGGAGATCGATGAGTGTTTGTATCAAGATTGGGATTACGATTAGAAGGATTAAGGTTTAGGATCGGGATTTGGGAATTAAAATTGGAACATTTCATTCCTACCTCAATGAACGGTCGCAAAAGCTCTGTGTTTAGCTACATATTAAGAATCTAACTTCCGTTGGCTCGTTATCCTTTATATATCATATGTGTATATAATTATATATCATAAAATATAAATTCAAACGTGTGGCCTTGTCCATCATCCACGATGGCCATTACTCACAGGATTGACGACCGTACGACCGACAGATACGAAAAAAAAGAACTAGCTGGAAACGTTGATTTCAGAAGATTGTCACTTTTGAATCAGGACGACAACCAAGTGCAAAACGCCTTTTACTGTATATGTCGTAAATCCTGGAGGGAATTCAGCAGTACCGCGAATTACGCGTCAACACCCGTTAATAAAGAAATTGTGGTACTGATAATAACGTTTACGTATCGCGTTCACGGTACAACGTATGTATTATCGCTTCGTGGAGACCACATATTGTTATAAAAAGAAACTTTTTTTTTAATAGATGAAAAAAGCATTCGATATAAACTGACATAAAAATGACGTACTAACTTAGCAGCCAAAATAATCTTTGTCTTCTATGTTTCAAATTCACCAAAACGCCCGTGATAACCGCCGACTATGCTGAGCTATACCCCTCCCCAAAAGAAGCAATGAAATTTACCATTTGGATCTTTCATTTTCTCTTTCTCTTGGCAAGATACTACTAGAACGTGTTTGCCAACTTGCATGAAAAATCGTCCTTGTCAAAATCATTGTTAGCGACAACGAAGTTATCGAATGAACTAATGGTTCGATGAAAAATAGGGGATGGTAAAACGTTAATAATGCCCATAAAGGTGTAACAATTTTTTTGCCGTTTACATGCGCTATAGAGGCACCCAAAACACCATGTGATGGGTAAATGAGTTAGAGCAGTTACCGCAGTCGTCAAAAATGAATTGGAATGACATAAAACAATGTTGATGGGAGGAATGAGCAGTAGTGGGTTGAGTTGTGG